ATAATCTCAGCTACAGGGATCTATTCATGGCAGGCACTGAAAGCACGATTAAAGGCTTACTGAGTGTTGCCTATAATTTGGGATTCACTAGAAACACAAATGTCTGTTGTCCAATCCTTAAATATTTAGCTGGCATGTGAAGCATATTTTGTTCATTTTTTTTCCCTCCCTCTTACACACACTGGGGGTTTTGCGGCTTCTGTACCTTGCTGCCATGGGGGAACCTGGGAAGCAGGAAAACCAGCCTGGGTAAGGAATGGGCACAGCAATGGGAATAGCAATGGGGGGCTGCCCGGGCCAGGGCAGAAGGCTAGAGAGAGGCTCCTGCCCCTGCACCTCACTTCTGGCTTCCCAAAGGAGCCCAGGTGCATCCACAGTATCGTCCAGTCTTGATTTTCCCTCTTCTTGGAAAATCCCCCTTCATGGAAGGATAACTCAGATCCAGACACAGGTATGTATATCTCTGGCAAACCAGGTATGATGGCAGTGGTGTGGGCTAAACCTCAGAATGGGCTCTTCCCCCGTGTGCTGAGGCTCAGGAGGCCTGTCCTGCAGGGTCACACATCCAATATAACACATCACATGCACAGACTTTGCACAAACTGCAGAAAAATGCCCCTTCCCTTCTGAGAACAATTTTTGTATTATTTTCCCATGTTTTGGGGTTCCTGCAAGACCAGGCAGTCCAGGAAAGGCAGCTCCTGACCTTTATAATTATCACTCATCTGATAGGGAGTACAAAAGCCCCTGCCACCACCCTAAACCCTTTCCATGTCACTGTGGTGCCCAAAGGACCAGTTCACAACACTGAAGGGATCCCATCGGTTGCTGCATTCACAGAGAGCTGTGAGCTGAGCTCTTCTGCTGCCCGAATTGGTGGCATAACTCACCATGGCTAAAATGTCCAGAGCTGTCCTGAAGACAGACAGCTCTCCTGAGCCCCAAATCAACTTTTTACGCGTCTCAGTTTACCAAGACAGAAATGTTTGTTAGGGAGGGCGGGATATGAGAAAACCCATGCTCCTCAGATGTAATTATAACTTCGAAATTAAGAGGCTCCAGTCGAAAAGGTGTAGAAAAGAATAGCTCTTTACCAAAGAATATATATGTATATGGGTAACACAACAATAACAAACAATAATCCCGTAACCCAACTTCCACCGAAAACAATTAAGTATTTTTTGCCTTTCAGCGCAGTTATAACCCCACGCCGGGGGCCGGGCGGCAGGGGCTGCAGTGCCTGACTCCCGGTCACCAGCGGGTGCTGTTGGGCTCCGGATTGTGGAGGCTGCAGTTGCGGGAGGCAGCTGAACACAGACAGCCACCCGAGGGGAAGGGAGAAGGGGAAAGGGAAAGGGTGATTCCTCCTGTGGACTCATGCCGTCAAAGACTGGCTCTGGCTGGAAGTCCCCTTCCTCCTCAATGGGTGTAAACTGCCACAGGCACGGAGAAGGAGGAGGAAGAGGAGGAGGGGGAAGAGCAGTTTTTCCCTTCCAAAGTTTCTCCGCAGGCGGTACCGGTTACTCCGATGAAATGCAAGGCAAGTCGGGACGGTGGGCGGAACTGGGCATGAGGAAACGGAGATGAACCGGGGCCAAAAGAAGCTCGGTTACTCCATCTGTTCACACTTGAATGTGACTTTTAAAGCCCTGGTAGGCTGGAGGGTGTCAGAAAGACAGTCACAGGAGATCCAGTTTCCAAGAGTGGCAGCATATCTGACAGCAGAGGAGTTTAAAGGTGGAAAATGATAATCACTGGTTTCTACTTGGTTTGGAGTCAAAGTAAAAACGCAGATGAGGAATCGATTTACCTGCCTTACAGCAAAGAGCAGCTTCCCATACAAATAAACCACGATAACAAAAGGGATTACAAGGCAAAAGATGAAAAGACAAGATATAGGATGTGTTCCTCACCTGGAGGAAAAACACTGTGCTTTAATGGTTTCCACTGCATTGTTGCACATAACACCACTCCATCAGTCACTCCTTCCTCTTCAACTGCACAGGTCAAACAGGGGTGAAGGAAGACAGGGTGAAAGCAAGAATTGTCTGGCGCATAAAGGCACAAGGTCCAGATTTTAGACCTGAGTCCTCCTGCTGGCTCTCCTCTCACTGCACCGCTGAGCCTTGGCACAGAGACACTTCCTTAGAGCAGCAATCCCTGAGGGGCTGCTGCTCCCACCCATGGGGAAGCCCTTTTATTGCTGCCTAGATATTTGCCACCCATGCATTACTATTCTCTGGTTTTCTGTTTTGGCACCAGGATGGTTCCCCCTCCCACCTGCACCTTAAGGTCAGAGGATCACCCCCCCACTTGAACCCATCTGGGTCTGGGCTTCCACAGGCTGCCCACATGGACATCCCTGACATTTCCATCCAAGAAATGCATTTTTCTGTGAGTTAGCAGCCTGGGAGAGTCAGGGGAGATAGGGAGTGCATTAACTCTCTCTATGTTATACAAAGGCTCCCAGAATTGGGCTTTTTTTCTTTCTAAATACTGAAAAATATCCAAACTGGCCCCGAGCTCTGCACTAGCACTTCTCAGAACGTTCCTGGAGACAGTGTGGAGGAGCGTTTCCTGCCCATTTATGCATCTTCCCTTGTGACCTACATCTGCCTTCCACATCTGAGCCCAGAGTTTGTGGTCAATCTGCTGCTGTCACCTTTGAGACTGTGATCGCCAGAGAGGGTAATTAATGGGACAAATCCTGAAGTAGACAGAGCCTGTCAGCTGGCTCGCACAGGTGAGACTGCAACTGCTGTAGCCAATGGACAGCAAAATCCATCCAACTTTCTATAAAATATGACTGGGGCAAGCTCTTGACCATCTTCATAAAGGCTCCCAGTGATTCTGATAGACAGTGTTACCCAAGTGCCTGAGGTAGAGAAGTCAAGCAGGCACATAGCATGTGGGAAACTGTTTGAATCTGAGCAGTTGTAGCTCTGAAGTAGCAGAGGAATGTAAACAACTCTAAAGAAATATTTACTGCAATGCCGGACAGAGCAAACGAAATGCAGCCAAGACTAAAGGTCGCCAATCAAGATGTGTATAATGTCACCAATGACGGTGTCCTCAGGTCACCAATGACAGTGAGCACAGTGTCTTCTGTGTCTCCAATAAGAGTGTGTGCAGTGTATTATGTTTGAGACTTTTAACCAATTATGTTGTAGCACATTAGTATACAAAGAGTATAAAAGAAACATTTGAGAGCAATAAAGTAGCTGTGTGCCTTTCCCTGCTATCGGAGTGCATTCCTTTCCATCAACGATAGCATAGCTCGCCTTCCTTGTAAAGACACCAAATAGCAGCAGGCTGGGTCCCTGTGCCCTGGGCTCGATGTCACAGGGTGCACAACCACTGCTGGGAGCCCTCAGGAAAGTCGCAGTGCTCCCTGCCTGGGGCACGCTCTGCCACCACACCAGAGGCTGTACAGGCTGCTGGGCTCCTTGGGGAACCTTCTGCTGCCAGAAGGACAATTTCCAACCATTAAGGATTTTACTTCAGAAATTGTTTTCCCGTGACTGAAAATATTAAATTTTAATTGCTGGTTTTTGTGAGGGGATGAGGGGGAGGGCACTTTGGGTGGAAAAACTGACACTGAAGCACTGACCTTCTGAAAAGTGGAACAACAGAGATCACCAGAGACTCCATCAGCCTGAAAGATGACAAGGAAGAACTTTTAGTGCACTAGTGTTCATTGATGAATTTCAACGCTGCCAAACTGTCACAGCGGGCTCCGGGACAACTGTGTCCTGCACCAACACCTGTGGCACCCACGGATCGCCTTCTCTGCGTTTACCCTGCAAGATTTCTCTGGACTAAACTAACCCAGCTAACGGCCTCACAGGAAGCAGGTAATGGCTTTGAATTCTCCCCACGCCGGTGTGTGGCAGTGTGCTCTGCTCAGTGCTCCAGGGTGTGCTTTCTCACCTCTAGCCATGGCTCCAGCTTGCGAACACAGGGGTCAGTCCTCAGCTGAACACAGGAACCCTGACTTCCTCCCGCTTTCACAGGAGGCTCTTATGCCTCACTGTTTTGCAGCTACATGTTCCATTCAGGGGGGTTCTTCATCCCTTGCTGCAGTTGCACATCAGTGCCTCTTACCATGCCTCTTCCGCGAGTGTGGGGACCCCTGGCACACCACCTTGGGAAATACCATGGGCTCAGTTCTTGTCTGGGGGATGGGATGTAGCTGGTATGCACAGCCCAGTGGGCTCAGCTGCTCCTCAAGGGAGTGGTATGCATGCAGAGAGTGGCTTTTTCACTGCGAGGTCACAACAGGCTGACAGGGAACAGCTACAGGGCAGCCACTGTAACCACAGTGCAGCCAAGAACCTGCGTGGCTGAAAGCCCAAGAGCGCTAGGACAACGGCTGTATGTTAGTTGCTCCATAAATTCCATCCTAAAAATGACTGTATCCCAGTGGTTCAGCAAATGCCAGTTCTGCCACTAGGGCAGGTGCTATGCTTTCCTCTGTGGTTGCCAGACCTGTCTCCCAGTCTTGGACACTCAAAATGGTTCATTTACTTCATGCAATCAGACAGTTTCACTTCGGTTTCCGTGTTAATGTTTAGAAGCCACTGACTTATCAGTAAGAGATTGTAGGAATCTGAGTGTTTTTCATGCCAGCCTCTTTGTAAACACTGCCTTTATGAGCTGCAGACAAAATCTGATTTATCCTCCTTGCTGGTTGTGGATGCCCTGAAATATTTAAAGGAGGACCAGAAGATAGTCTAAGTTTGCGGATTGTTTTCTGCTCTAGCACACTTTGGCTTCCTACCTTTGAAGGCAGAGATAAGACACATATTCTCACTTCCCCTTCTTTCTCTTGAGACCTGTTATCTGCTTGGTCTGGTGGTACCCACGCTGAGCTGTTCCTCCCCTGCACCCTGCAGAGAGAGGAGTGGATTCGACCCTGCGGGCAGCCTGCTCACAGCAGGCACCCACTGCCCAGCCTGCAGCAGTGTTCCCGCTGCCCCTGGGAGTAAAGCCACCTGAGCTACCCCATGGCTGGAAGGGTTCAAGTCCTGAGGAGGTTCTCAGGCCTGGCAAGACCCAGAGCAAACCTATGGGGTGGCTCCAGTATCAAAGCAAGGGTCTCAGAGGGCAAAAGGGGAACGTTGCCCAGCTTTGCTGTGGGCTGCCCTAAAGGCAGTGGCTCTCTGATAACTACAGCAGCAGCAAAGGTAAGGGACAACAAAAATTATCCTTCTGCTTTGCAGGCTCTTTGCTGTTAGGAAGGCCAGGAGGGAAGGTGAGGCAGGCTTAACTGCCCAATAGCTGTGAGAGTGTTGTCTATGTGTTTTTGTTACCTGGCAGTGAGTGATAGTCTAACTTTGATGGCTGAGGGTCTGACGGTGCTGATGAGCCATTGAACCCATCCAGAGCTCAGCCTCATGCCTGCACTCTTCCCTTGCAGAGACGGCCCAGCATGAACAACAGCACTGAAAATAATGCACTGCAGGATGGCATCGCACTACTTAAGACGATTATCTACACCCCAGTGCTCGCTTTGGGGATCCCACTGAACGCAATTGCCTTCTGGGTCTTCTGCTGCAAACTCAAGGGGTGGACTGAGACCAAGGTGTACATGATCAACCTCATCGTTGCGGATAGTTTCCTGCTCTTTACCCTGCCTTTTGTGATATATTTTAACAAGTACGACCATCCCATAGACCAGCTGTGTGTTGCCATAGACAACATCTATTTTACAAATATGCCTATGAGCATCTTTATCATCACCTTGATTGCAATTGATCGATACATTGCAATCAAGTTCCCTCTAAAAGCAAAGGTTTTTCGATCCCCGCTGAAATCAGCTTCTATCTGTGGCTTTCTTTGGATAATGCTCATAATTTATTCCAACATCCATCTAAAATTTCAGAATAGGTGGGAAAGATTCTGCTTTCGGACTCGATCTCTTGACCCTAGTTATTTTTCTTTATTCACTATTATCTTTGGATTTTTTATTCCCTTAGGTATTGTGATTTTTTGCTCAGTACAAATCATCAGATGTCTCAAAAAGAACATGGCCACAAGCCCCCATGAGACAAAATTAATCCAGAAGGCTGTGCACATTGTTTCTGTGAATTTGTGTGTGTTCACTGTATGTTTCTCCCCTTTCTACATTACACTGCTCGTGCTGTTTGCAGTGGAGGTTACTGGAGCATCTTCTCTGGTGTCAGCAGTTAACAACTCTATTAAGTTCTCTGCATGCTTAGCAAATTCTAACTGCTGTTTGGATGCATTTTGCTATTATTTTGCAGCCAAGGAATTTCCAGAATTTTCTTCTATATTCCCCACCTGTATGAGGTCCAAGACAAATGAAAGGCAAGAGTCACAGCCACCCACAGGTGAAGTCATGGCATGAACAAGGTGTAGTGCACGAGATGTTAAGTGCCACTCTGCTGCTGAAGTTTTGAGGCAGAGGGAATGGAACCACCTACAGTATATGCAGTCATTGTAGGTATAGGCATACCTGCAAAATGGAGCAACCTCCACCAAAGGGTCTGATATTAACTTGAATTTTGCCCTTCTGTCCTTGGTGACTTGACTCTAGCTCTGATTATAGTCTTGTATCATTGTATGGCAGCTTCAGGCATCTCCTGGTGATTTTCGTTGGCTTCATGGTCCCTCACTTTCAGTGTCTCCTGACTAATAAACCTCTCAAAATTTTCCTCCGTGGACTGCAAACCTATGTCCTTCTCATTTAAATCTAGAGACCATTAACTTTCTTAGTGACAATTAACAATTATTTCCCCTACAGAAGACTGTCATCTTTTTCTTCCTGCAAACCACAGTCTGAAACCTCTGTCCAGACATTGTCCAAACAACACAGGAAATTACTATTCCCATCACAGAAATTATCCCCCACCCAAAGTTAGATCTACCTGCTTTGTGTCAATACTTTGGCAGGTGGCTCAACGAGATGGAAGCTGCAGTGAGCAACTGTGGCATAAAAATGAATTAAACTACTCAGATCATTCAGCTGATAATTTATGTCACAATTTTCATCTTTGGTGTATTATTTAATGCTCTGGCATTATTGATGTTTCCCTGCAAGCAGAGCAAAAGGGCCGTGTGTGTATGTGACAAATTTAACCATTACACACTCTTTGGCCCTCATTCTGCTTTTTAAAGTCACTATTCATTTATTACCATTATACAAACGAGTATTATTAGTGCCAAATTTATACTGGAGATTGTGAGAGAAGACTTAGTTACTGCAGTATAAGAGCTGCCTCACAACAGATTCTTTAACAGTGCAGCCCAAAACTAAGCAAGGAACTTTCTGATTCCCTGAAGAGGTATGTTCTCCCTTGGATAAAAATTTTTATCTTGCTTATATGTCAAGTTCATGATGGGTTTCTTAGATCTGGTAAACAGTCTCAAGCGGGACATCAGGCAGAGCTTAGAAGGGAAGGAAAAATGATCAATCATACAGAACAAAAAGTGTAAAGATCAAACAGGTCATAGCAAATTCTTCCCTTAGATATGAAAAGCTACCTAGGACTTGCAAGCAAAGACGTGAGATCACCCAGTACTGCTTTTAATAAAACAAAACAATTGTCCAGATATGCCCTGAAAACTACCTGATTATCTCAACTTTCATTATGGATGAGGAACCAGAGAAGTCCAAAAATTTAAAGGAATGAAATCTCACAGCAACAGCCGGGCAAAGTCAGTCAGAATAGAACTGGGGTAGAAACCACCAAACACAGTCCCTTTCCCAGGCCTGGGGAGGAAAAGGAAGGCTCTGGCCAGTGACAGAGCTACTATGCTCAGATGCAAAAAAAGTGCAGTTTCACAACACATCTCAAATACTAAATGTTAGGGAACAAATAGAAAAGCAAAACAAAAGTGGGGAAATATTCCCTTATGGGGATATTTTGCCCCACTGGCTACTTTCATGAAGAAAATAATTTTTCCAGGCCCAATGTTGTAGGCAGGG